GAAACAGATGTGGTTGCAACGTTTACCTAGAAATGTCCAGCAAATTTTAATCATCTCAGGAAAGTCGTATGACTTAGACCAACTAAGTGACATGGCAGATAGTATTTTGGATGTTTTATCCGATAACACCATAAGTCACGTAGCATCTGATAGTGCCACACCGTGTCATTCCACACCCACGGCAGACACACCGATACTCGCCGCCATTGCAGACTTAGCGGCAAGGATTGACAATTTGGAAACTAATAAGTCTGATCGACAAGTCCGGAGACGGACTTCACAAAGAAGGTCACCATCACGACGACGATCCTTCTCACGACAGCGTTCTTACACGTCTTCTCGGGATAGCAATATATGCTGGTATCACTGGAAGTTTGGACGTCATGCCCTGAAATGTGTAAAACCGTGCAGCTTTAGCGAAGCCAACCAGGCTCAGGGAAACGCCTCAGCCAGACAGTGATGGCGACAGCTGTTACTGGCAAGCAAACAAGTCGCCTCTTCTATGTGAAGGATAAAACTTCAGACACTTTATTCCTGGTAGACACGGGAGCAGAAGTTAGCGTAATCCCTCCTTCACTATCCAGGCGATCTACACGGACACCCGGAAAACTGTCTCTCCGGGCAGCTAACCACACAAGCATACAGACGTATGGAGAGCAATCGCTCATACTGGATCTAGGTTTACGTCGGCGTTTCACATGGATTTTCATAGTAGCCGACGTCAGTCACGCCATCCTCGGAGCAGATTTCTTGAGTAATTTCAACCTGTTAGTTGACGTCAACAATAAAAAACTGATTGATAACAACACCCATCTAAAGATCCATGGAATTATCTCCAGCTATTCTGTCTATAATATCAGTATTGAAAGACCAGCAGATTGCCCTTTTTCCTCCCTACTTCACCGTTTCCCTAAAATTCTTAAGCCGTCGTACAACATCGAGGACGTCCCTCACACAGTTACTCACAAGATAGTTACTACGGGTCAACCAGTTCGTGCTCGTCCCCGTAGATTACCCCCGGACAAATTGGCAGCAGCCAAGGCAGAATTTGAACACATGATGCAGCTCGGCATCATCAGACCCTCCAATAGTCCTTGGTCTTCGCCCTTACACATGGTGCCTAAAGCTGATCATGATTGGAGGCCATGTGGGGATTACCGACATTTAAACAATGCCACAGTTCCCGACCGTTATCCTATTCCTCATCTTCATGATTTCTCCCTGACATTACACGGAAAAACCATTTTTTCTAAAGTAGACTTGGTCAGGGCCTATCACCAAATACCAGTTGCCCAAGAGGATATCGAAAAAACGGCCATCATCACACCTTTCGGTTTGTTTGAATTTCTCCGCATGCCATTTGGCCTAAAGAACGCAGCACAATCCTTCCAACGTTTCATGGATCAGGTCACACAAGGTTTGGACTTTGTATTTGTATATATCGATGACGTTTTAATTGCTAGCTCGTCGCCCGAAGAACATACTGATCACCTCACCATCTTATTTCAACGATTTGAGCAATATGGAGTCGTCATTAACCCCAAAAAGTGCATATTCGGTGTCTCCTCTATACAGTTTCTGGGACACCACATAACCACGAATGGTATTACGCCTACGGAGGAAAAGATAGAGTCCATCAAAAACTTCCCCGAACCAGATTCACTCAAGAAGGTCAGACGTTTTTTGGGGATGTTTAATTTCTATCGGCGTTTCATTCCTTCGTGTGCCTCCATCGTCCAGCCGTTAACCGACCTCCTTAAAAATGATCCTAAAAAGTTTCAGTGGTCAGCTGAAGCACGCGAATCATTTTGCAACGCAAAAGATGCCTTATCCAGAGTTACTATGCTATCCCATATCAACCCCGAAGCGTCGCTTATTTTGTGCACAGATGCCTCCCAAGTAGCTGTAGGGGCAGTATTACAACAAAAGATGAAGGGCGAAGTCACCCCACTCGCATTCTTTTCTAAGAAGTTGGAACCGGCTCAGACACGATACAGCACTTTTGGGAGAGAATTGCTGGCCATATATCTTGCAGTGAAGCATTTCAGTTACTTACTACAGGGCCGGCATTTCACTATTTTTACTGACCACAAGCCCCTGTGTCATGCTTTCACTACTTCACTTGATAAACACTCCCCTAGAGAAGCCAGACAGTTGGATTATATCTCCCAATTTTCAACCGACATTCAGTACATCAAAGGGGATGCGAACGTGGTAGCCGATTCTCTTTCAAGAAGTGACATTAACCAGCTCCAAACGTCGGTAGACATCAGTCTTGATCGTATGGCTCAATTACAACGAGATGACGTTGAACTCCAAACCTGCCGCAGAAACTCTTCCTTACAACTCAAAGATGTGCCTATCCCCTTATCAGATGCAACCATAGTCTGCGATGTATCTACCGGCACTAATCGTCCATTTGTCCCTCTCAGTTGCCGAAAAGCATTGTTCGAACATTTACATTCGCTTTCCCACCCTGGAGTACGCGCCACGGTCAGGCTGATCAGCGAACGCTTCGTGTGGCCTAAAATGAACTCTGACATTCGGAGATGGGCACGAGAATGTATCCAATGCCAATGCTCCAAAGTACACCGCCACACTATTACAACCCCGAAGACGTTTAAATTACCCGAAAGGAGATTTCAGCATATCCATATAGATATCGTGGGACCATTGCCAACATCAAGGGGATATACACATATCCTGACAGCGATTGATAGATTTACTCGTTGGGCTATTGCATGCCCCTTAAACGACATATCTGCTGAAAACGTTGCTTTAGTTTTTCTCGACCGTTGGGTGTCAAACTACGGTGTACCAACTACTATTACATCCGACCGCGGTCCTCAATTCCAATCGACACTCTTTCGCGAACTGACGAGACTTCTGGGAGTGAAACATATCTCCACAACAGCCTATCATCCGGCAGCGAATGGTCTAGTGGAAAGATTCCACAGACAACTGAAAAGCTCCCTGATGGCGCAGAATGATACATCTAAGTGGAGTGAATACTTACCTTTGATTTTACTTGGTATCCGTTCTACTATCAAAGAAGATTTAGGATGTACACCGGCTCAACTTGTCTATGGCACCAACCTAACCTTGCCTGGACAGCTAGTCCCCTCAGCCGATTCCACAGACGTGAACATTGCCGACTTCACTAACCGATTAACTAGACAAATGCTTCAACTTCAACCAACAGCACCTCGACAATCTCCCCGAAGAGATCAGATCAACAAACATCTACAAACTTGCAAATTCGTCTTCATTCGAGTCGACGCCATCAGAAAAGGATTGCAACCTCCATACGAAGGACCCTTTCAAGTTATTAAACGTTCAGACAAACACTTTACCGTGAACAAGAATGGAAAACGAGAGACTATTTCCATTGATCGAATCAAACCCGCATACACCGACAACGACTTCGAATCTACATCGGCAACTGCGCAATCAAATAATCAAACATCCGATTCCACTCCACCGGCACCAAGTCTTATCCTCCCTCCATATCAAACACGTAGTGGTCGGCAAATCAGTAAACCGGCTCGCTACGTTCATTTTGAGGACTAACAAAAGAAAAATAATTAAAAATTATTATTATTTTTTTCGTTTAGACATTATCATCATGACCGTTAGTATTTCGTCGTAAACTTTGATGTTACTATCACTATTATTTATTTATATGTACCTCACCGAAAAAACAGGTAGTGTCCTTTCCAAAAACTACTGATCTTTAATCCATATTTTTTTTAATGTTTCTTTCCCCTCCTTAATTACTGTGTATTTACATATTTTTCTTTATACATTAAAAATCTATGTTCATGGTTAGTGCAAATTTAAGTGACATGACTTTCTATTTCAATTTTTATTGCTGAACTTATTGTATATGCTTTCAGACTTTACATGATTCACATACCTTCTCGCGTTTATGCATGTTGTAATATATCCCTATTTTTATCCAAAAGTTGCTATTACTATTATTACTTACTTCATAGTTTTACGTATCATTTTCCGGTTGTCTCTCCGGACCTCTAGGGGGGAGCCGTGTTGAGTACGTAACAATGTGATTGTACACTTTTTAGGTACTTGTATAAATTCGAGATATTGTACATAATTTTTGTTTAAATCGCTTCTTGTTGAAATATACATAATTTCCGTGTACGATTGAAAAATACACTCTGCTGTTGGAGACTTCGTCTTCTCCCTGGTCACCTCTACTTACTTGCTCCACTCACACCGTGTTGTAACTTTGGATTTATTGTAGGAGCCTACTACTTTCATCCGAAGACATTTCTACAACCGGAACACAGCAGCTACAGCAGACGCAGTCCAAACAGTTAACGTGCCTGTGGATTATATAATTAATTTGTAGCCGAGGACTTACACTTTATAACCAAGTAATCCTTTTTGTTGCTATAACTCGTCACTGTATTTTTGGTAATATATTGTGATTTAACACTCCACTGACTTGGATTATTACTTTTATACTTGGAATGTTAGTGAACTCTAATATTAGTCCCCTACAGAACTGCGTGATATATTTCGGGACCAAAACAAGCCGTCAGACGAACGCTTAGCTGGTTAGTGATCGTGCACGTGACACGACGGGGTACCAAATGGCGGGGATGCTTGACCGGAAGCCTTCAGCTAAACAAGTCGACTTAAACAGTGGTGGTCAGCATCCAATGATGAGTGATTGCTGTGGTCAATAATTTTGGGGAATTATTCACTGCTACAGGTATCTAGCCTTTTATCTTCAATCAACAAATCTGTATCTAAATTGAATGTTCGCACTCATAAATGTAAGTTAAGATTTTGCATTACCACCTACAAGGAGATCTAAAACCTAAATTATCAAGTAAAAGTGTTTAGAACGTGAAGAAGCATGGCATGCAAGTCAGAGGAAAAACGACCTTGGAATGACTTAAAATACCGAAGTTTCATTTGTTCCTCAACCTTAAGGCGGAATTTCGAATCTAAGACCGACATACTCATCTAGAATGGAAGACAAAAATGATGAAACTGTTCATACATCTCATGCTCCTGCAGGTAATTTCTCTTGACTTTTCTTTACCCAGTTTTAAGTGAAAGCCGGGGGAATGAGAATTGTGAAACATGCCAGAGAACATGAAGACAAAGCATTAACGAAATCGGAGCTAGCACACCAAGCAGCAGAGTACAATTCAAGGTAGTTTTTTTTATATATGTAACCCTGTCTTTAGCATCACAGGGGTTTCGCCACACGATATCTTTAGTAAGGTAAGTCGCGTTTAAATATTATTAATTACCTTCGGGCCAACTGCATACATTTTGGGACTAAACTCCTAGGTCGCATTAAAGACATCGTGACGGTTTTCTGACCCCTCCCCCAAGACGTTAGCTTTGGACCTTAGGTGTGCCCTTTAAGTCCTTGAATCCGACCGTATGTTTCGGTTGTGCTCACTAAGTCCGTAGCCACGTGTATGACGTACCTGATATATCCACAGCTTGTGGCAACAAGCAACACCCTCGTCCCAACTCCAAGAATTATGATATCAGAGAGCAGTTGCTCTTAAAAAACACTTATTACTAATCAAAAAATGTGTTTACAATGTAAAGACACTACAAAGCAGTTAAAAAAATCGAATCAAATGTTGACAATCTGATACTTCCTACATACTCTATGTTTTCCTTCTTCAGATCAACGATGACGGTCTGAGAATAGATGAAATAAAATATATAAACATACCAATCGAGACAGTCGTCGTCTTCTTGCTCCTGCTTTGAGTCTGTCACGAAGGGGTGGAACCACTGTTGAATAGACGTTACATTATGACGCTATTCACTGTGATCTGTCTGTCTGTTAGCATTGCTTTGTTGGTAGAAACCACTTCTCGTACAGTACCCGAGAATTACAATAGGAACAAACATCATGAATTTCGGGGTCTCATATCGTGTGCTTGTAAGCCATTTTGTCGTAGCCGTCCATGAAAATTGAGTGCTGTACGTGGCCTCTAACAATGCATTCATGATGTGACTGACTCAAGTTTGGACGCACCCGAGTCAACCAAAGTCCTAAGGTCAGCGGATACAACCCGATTTCGTTTTTAAGGATAACATGGCGGCGTTGCTGTCCAACTGCCATCTGATTCTAATCGTGACTCCAAAAACTTGAGGCGTGCTGAGCAACTAGGTTGGCAGCCGTCTGTCTCCCTATTCTTTGCACACCTACAAGTGATAATTGCAGTAAAATGTAACTTACATCTTAACTGGTGGCACATTGGAAGTCTTCGACGCAGAAAAGCTGAATTAACTTTAAAATATATCCTTCGTTTGTAGTTGTCGGCAACTAGATGTATAGAACTGAAAGTCTGTTAGTTCACAACAAAGACGGGTAATTTACAGGTGCCAAGTAAACTGAGACTTTTCGTATCGGTTTCTTAACACTGAAGATTAGCTAAGAATTACAGCTCACCGGTTCACCCTGCATTGAATTGCAGACTCAATGTTCTCAGATGACGACTATCTAGATGGTGAGCGTAGCCGGTTGGATACGGTTTGAACTCTCATGGCTTCGTCAGAATTATCTAAAAAGGAACGTGCCTACAGAATGTCCACTTACTGTAGCACCCCAATAAAATAAACTCAGGTCATGTACCTGGTGCAGCCTCTGCAGGTTGTCTCACTTCTAATTGGTTGGAGGATTTCATCATGAGCTGACATCAGTTAGAGAACCATTGCAAAACCTGAGAGTGCTGGACATCTCTTTCGTCCTTAGACTAGTGTACATTGCTTTAATTTCCATAAAACTAAGAATACATATTTCACCCTAAAAGTTGTCTGCCTGAAAGATCCTAATATCCCTAGAATCCAACGGCTGCTTAAAAATGTCTTGGGCTTCTTATAAGCACGAAATCTGAATTGAGTTTCGTCTAGTATTTCACAAACAACTGCTTGTTGCTCATCATAACGCAGTTGCCTTGGGAAACTGTCCTTAATCGAAAGTGGAAAAAATTAGCGGTTTGCTTAGTAACGCCTACAGATGCACTAGTAAGAAGCCCCCATTTCGAGGATTCAGCTTCCATTAAGCATCTTTCGCCTAGACATGTACCTATTTGGACTGCAGGTTTATTGTGACCTGTGACTGGAATCTGAAGAAAACGTATGTTAGTCTCAAATGCGAAGCAAGAGAAACTATCTAATGGTTCGTAGTTTCTTACCTCATATAAGCGAAGCAAGCCATCCTCAAATAAAGGCTTTAAGTTCCCTAAAAATTTCATCAACACATTCTTTGTATCATCTAGGTAGTGCAAAGAATGCTTCGAATGACTTAAAATATAACAAGTTGGGAATAAATAAAAAAAGCTGTCACAGAAGCAAGAACGTTAAGTGTCTTTCAAGTACACTGCTGCTAAATATAAAAGAAATAGTCTACACTCAGCAGCTTTTCTAGCCGTCCAACTTTTAAGGTGCGACACTTACGTTAGGATTTACAAGGCGTCAACTTATGTGAACTAAGCGATCGTGAGTTAACAGTATTCAAAATAATAGTATTAGTCATATTATCTTGCCTACCTGTGACCATCACTTTCCGCAAGTCGATCAACTTTCGGACTACTCGTAGGTATATGAGATGCATACTGTCTAGCGGAAAAGCAACTGTCATGTCTACATGAAATCTCTCAAAAGGAAATTTACCCTTATAGTGACCTGACTGCGTTTGCCTTCGGTAACCGGCATCTGTTCTCAGAACCGCACATTGGGTTGGAGAAACCATGCGATTATTCACACGATGGCATATAGTCTCACACTTAGGGTTGAATTGTGACCAGTTATTTGCTTAGCTAATGCTCTGGCTCGTGTATTGCATATATCGCCCCCTGAGTACTTCGTCTGTGTAGTGGCTGTTGGGTAATATAAAACCATTCTGACATATCATTTCTAATCCAACAAAAGTATCCCTTAAAAAGTGAATACCTGCAGGTTTACTTGAATCACAGGATACGCCTACCAAAAGCATCTCGTCATATCCAGACAGCAACGGCTTCTCTTGAATAGGCCACATCTGTAAGTTCGAATTGTTAAGAAGTTGAGTACTACCACTCCACTAGCACTGGGGCTTCCCCTTTGACCGTTTGTAGGTGACATTCAATCTGACGATGAAGGTCAGTGTGAATGCATGTCCCGACACCAGTCTCTCTCCTTTGAACAACTTCCTCAGTCCTCGTCTATAAATGCAAGCTTAGTATGGCGAATACACGTATCATGCTTGAAGAAGTGAAGCCTGTGCTCCGTGGTTTACCGAACATTGACATATTAGGTATGTCATACGTGTGGCTACAGACTTGGGATGGACTGCTCGATGGTAGGAAATTATGTATGATCCACTATGGAATCTTAGGTTCTGGTATAGACATTTTGGCGCAGAATGCAGACAATCGTCCCGTTTTCAATGAGCTTTGGGTTTTTGTCCCGAAATGTTAGCAGTAAACCCTGAGAAAATACTAGATGTCCTGTTGATCTTACTGATGTATTGAAATATAGACTGTTAGCCTCTGGTTTCAAGAAGTTGGGATTCAGTGGTTGAATACCATCGCTCGCAATCGTCAATTACTTGGTATTTCCGAATTCAGTACTTCTATGAGTGGGTTCATGCTGTACATCGTTACTGTCACCCTATAGGGTTTTTAGCCTCGCTCTATTTTCTGAAGTGTTTATGAGAATAAAAAGCGTTACTGCTGAAAGTTTTGTATATCAGTGGATTCTCCTTCTGTCTGTAGTAAGTTATGTTAAGAACCATGCATCTGACCGTTTTTTGAACTCGTCCAATAGTCACTAAATTATTTCCTATATCAAAAGTAGCCTCATCGATGTCCGTAGACTATCTCAGATTCTCATACATTACCTAATAATTTAGTTAATCTAGTTAGCTGTTCATCACCGCGGGATTTTGAGCATCGCTAAAGTCATGCTACCAGGTTCTACTGCTTTGTTTCATCCTAATTTGCAGACAACTTTCAGTTTCAGCTACATTTATAGTACTAGTGTCTAAATCCCAATCAACAGCTTCTTTGTGTATCTCAGTTCAGGTGAGTCTGCAGAAATCCTGTGGCTTTTACTCTAGCCTCTGATTGCAGATTATTAGCGGTTTTTACTACTAGATGTGATCACAGACTTCCTCAGAATGAGTGTTGCTGTCATCACCAGATGTGTTTAGTTATTTTCTCCTAAAGTATCTGTCTCCTATGTCCACTCAGTTGTTGACATACAGGTGCCCTTGATCGATAATTTTGACCTAGTACGAAGTCGTGACCAGTGAGGTGCAGCAGGTCGGGTGGGTGTGTGGGCAAGTACTCGCTGATAACACTAGCTAGTGGCCGAGCTCTATCGTGAATTGGTGGAAGTTGGAATTCATGGGCTGACCACTGACTTGGGCCTCAGTGGATGAATGGTCTATGAACTTCCCTTGTAACCGGAAGCTCCTGGGGTTGACCCCCGTCAGTGGGTGCCTACTGTTTGAGAAATCCAAACTAGGACGATTGAGACAGCTGCCCCCAGTACTTCGTGATGGCTTTGCAATGATTCTGTAGCCGATGTCAGTTCATGGTGGAAATCCTGTAACTAGTCGAATTCCTGCAAACCAACACTTAAATACTAGATGATCTGTGTCCATCTTTGACTTAATTCCAGTGGTTGCTAGTTAAGGCAGTACGTGTCTTGATGTTTCAAATGAACAGTAACCAGTTACAGTGGGTAGTAGTTACCTGAGATGAATGGTTGGAGAGAGTTATCGTTGTTCGCTCGGCACTCCATATAATTCTCGGACAGGTTTAGCTTCCCCAATTCAGCATTGAAGTCTAGTGCTAATTGTGACTATTTCTGTTCGTCAGTTGGTGAGTACACGTTGTTTTGTTTTACTCTTAATCTCTGGATAATTTTTCATAACTCTACTCCTATAATATTTTTATAGGAAGAGCTCGAATCGCATGACAAGAGCGTTAAAGCCAGTCATGATAAACCTATGCCAAAGGTTACCAAACCGCATAATGACAATACACGTCGAATTATTCAACAACCTTCAAAATGATGAATTATTTTTAAAACAAATTATAATAATAAGTAACCAGTTACTTTTTGTAATTTTATTATTTTGTAAGCAAAATAAATAAATTTTAATTATATATCGCATTCAGGTATTTCTTTTTTCTAACAGTTCCATGTAATTGGATTGAATGCTTTCGGCGGTAGGCTTCGACTTCGGCTAATAGACGATTCTACTGAGTCTGTACACGTTGTATCGGTGTTTGTTGTATGTTGTTCTGAACAAGTTGCAGTGAAATGACCACGTCTTCTAACTTGATCACCTTGTAGATAGTTATTATTATTTATTGGTAATGGAGTTGGTCTGGGCGATAATCCCAGTTGGCGTATTGTCATTGTTTCACTTAACCATTCTGGGTGAATGATATAATAAGGAGCTTTAGTTCTATTGTCTGCGTGTACATTGAATAGTCCTCCTCTGTGTTCTGTCCTAGCACTATTAGATGATAATACGTCATTTCTAACCCTGCTTGGCGGAGATTCTCCTCTATAGGCAGAAATTAAATTAACCCGACCATATTGTCGTTCTTGATTCAAGATAGGTGTACTTCGTTGATGTGTCTGCTTTGTTGTTAACCAATGATATCGAGTATTTTCAACTTCTTTTAGAATATTTGATGATTGAGATAAAGGATCTTTGAACTGTTTCCTTTTTGTATGAAGTGGCGATTTATTACGCTGACTATTATTATTATTAATTGTTTGATTTCTGTAGAGAATAAACAGAATTTATATAAGTTGAATAATTACAAAATTAATAATTTAATAATACAATGACAAGCTGTAAATTATGTGATAAAGGTTGAAGGTGTTACTTTTCTAGCAGATTTCATTTATTATTAATATCAGTGACTCTATCAATAACAAAGCGTGGCGATCTTGGATAACAAGAATGATGAAAAACAGCATGATTAAACAAACAAATGTTCAGGTAGACACAGGAGTCGATAAATGCTACGAAAACAAATGAACCTATTAAGTAGGGATAGATTGTAAGGGAGGCAAATAAAATATATTTCCAATGATTTATTTATTCATTCTACTTCTTACTATCTGGCTCTGTGATTCCAGAGTAATATCTACAAATTCTAAAGAGGATGACAGAATTGTTGATTTGTCAGGTGTTGATACTTCGCCAATTTTTAAACAGTACTCTGGATATCTAAGTGGGGCTGATGATAACATTCAGCTACATTATTGGCTAGTGGAATCTTCATTTAATCCAGAGGCGGCTCCTCTCATTTTATGGCTTAATGGTGGACCTGGGTGTTCGTCTCTGGAAGGATTGGTCTCAGAAAATGGTCCATATAAGCTTGTCAAGGGTCCAAAGCTGGTTGAAAATCACTTCTTGTGGAATAAGTTTGCCAATGTACTCTACTTAGAAGCACCTGCTGGTGTTGGCTTCTTATATTCTGTCAATGGTAGTCTTCAAACAGACGATGATATAACATCAGAAAACAATTTCTATGCATTACTGAATTTTTTGAAAAAATTCCCAGAATATGAAAAACGTGATTCCTATGTAGCTGGTGAAAGTTATGCTGGTGTTTATGTGCCCACTCTGGCTCTCCAGGTTATTAATTCAGATAAATTTAACTTGAAGGGAATCGCAGTAGGTAACGGATATGTTCATGATGAATTTTTGAACAATTCTGCTTTATACTTTGCTTATTATCATGGACTTGTAGATGAAGACCAATGGAATACTCTATTGACACAGTGTTGTCAAGTTGGATATCCCACTAAATGTCTATTTACTAGAAACGCTTCAGACTTTTGTGATGCTATTATAGGTCAAATAACTGTCAGTGTAATGACTGAAATGAATATTTAAAATATTTATCGCCTCCCTCGACGAGCAATGTTAGCGGATATAGGGTCAGGCTGGAAAAAAGCTAGCGGCGGTCAAACCAAAACATGACTTCATCAGTCAATGAAATCTACAACAGTTAGTTTAAGCCAGCCACGTAGGAAGGTGTAGACTTCCAGGCTGGGGTCCTCGGGACGGTAAAACTCTATGGTTGGAAACAATTGGTGACATGGCTCAAAATCGTTCTCAGTGGCTAGCGCAGATGCATCCACTCCTTGTGACTTATGATCTCCAATGAAACTGTTTTGTTTTTCTTCATTACTCCTTTGTCTCATACCTCTGCTCACTGTTTCTATAATGCTTTTCTTGTACTTTCTCCTCTTGCTTTGCGTGCTACACGGAGTGTGGTGACTTGAACTGGCGCACATTTGTGTATAGTTCTATGTCGAAAACAGACAGACAGATTTACAATATTTATTCTAAATGTGAAGGTGGCATTACTCCGCATCATCCAACTTCTAGTGATAAACACAGTGATTTTGGTAATTTATTCTGTAAGAATAAATATATGCAAGAGTATCGTCAATTATTGAGAACAATGAGTCGTAAACTTCAAACTCGACTGGCAATCCCTTGTTTAAATGGTTCTACAATACGCGGATATTTCAGCTCATCAGATGTACGTAAGGCCATATATGTCAGAGAAGATTTACCTGTAGAATGGGATATATGCAGTCAAGAAGTGAATTTTGATTATACACGTCAATATACGGATTTATCATCACAGTATAGAGTGACTCTATCAATAACAAAGCGTGGCGATCTTTGATAACAGGAATCATAAGAAAAACAGCATGATTAAACAAACAAATGTTCAGGTAGACACAGGAGTCGATAAAGGCTAAGAAAAACAAATAAATTTATTGAGTAGTGATAGATTGTAAGGGAGGCAAATAAAAAAATATGTTTCCATGAAGATGTGATAAGATTAAGGGATGATGATAAGAGAGGGGTTGAAAATATAAGTAAGGGGGTGGGGTGGAGAAGTTATCAGTTGGTTAGATCTTAATAGGCCAAGATGGGGATAATGACTATGTGAACTTCTTTTGAATGCATAGTTTAGACTTAATAGTTGTTCGAACGCCTATCGCTTCAGCTATTTGCGGTAAACGAATACGAAGTCTATTGGGAAGATTCGGTGGGATACAATGAATCATATTGAATGCTTTTGTTTTCCCGACTGACTGACTACTATCAACTAAGTGTGACAAAACGGAACTACGGATGGTTTTTGTCTGTCCTCTGAGAAAACATGATGAGAGATGTTCGGTAACACGTTAGCTAAGTTGTCTATTAGTGTGCCCAACATAGATGTCATTATTATTATAACTGATTACACAATGTATATATATATATATATATATATAATTTTGATTACAGCTTGATTCCACACTGTATTTTTGGTACCAGTATGGAAGTTTCAGCATGTGATATCGGTAGCCCAAATTTTGCAGGCTTACCATAGATATCAGATGTGCGTCGGCAGGGGCTCGAACCTCGGACCATGTGTATGGTCGGCGAGCGTTCTTACCACTGTTACACCGACGTACTATATGCACGATCTTGTTATCCTGTTGACAGAACACCGTGATTGGTTCATACTTTTTTCCTTCACGTTCCCAATGGAACGCAGGACTTCAAGCTAGTGGCTTGAAGATTCTCTAGCAGTGTTTGTTTTTAAAGGATGGGATTGCTAGCCCTATGCCCAACCCTTCCTGTTTACCAACATTATTTCTGGCTTAGCGAGATAATGGAGTGCGCCGGGGATTGAACCCCGGACCATGTGCATGGTCGGCGAGCGTCCTAACCGCTATACCACCGACGCATACTCATATATTTTGGTATCTATTATTATTGATACCTTGGTCTCCGAGTGGAACATCACTTCGACTTCAACAGTGCATCGACTATTTGTCCTATTCTCTGTAGTCTCTTTAGCTACCTCACTGTTACCTATCACCTCTTACGGTCTCCCTTGTATAACCATCGGGTTCCACTGTAGAGTTTGCATCACCCGCGTCGTCATTTGCCAACCTCCTCAGCGTTTGCGTTTGCAGTCCATCTCCATTTACTTCGGAATATTTTTTGGCCAGTACGTTTTTGATTGGTTCCTTCCCAGAGTTTCTTGTTACTAATTCGTTTTGGCCGTCAATTACATCTTCAATATGGAGCTAGCGAAGGCAGCTGTTGACAAATGTCTGCTGTAACTTGTTGGAAATACTTTCTGTGACGTACTGGCTAAGTTTATGACCTATATAGAAGAAATGACTTAACACTCGGGGATTTCTATTCAATGAAATTACTACATATAACGGGAAGTCATCTATGCATCTGGTTGTGATGTTTCTTGAGATGTGTTCGGAAGGATTATAGACAGAGGTATTCATGTGCCAAACTGTACAGCATACTGTTAAACTGCTTGTCTCGCATGTTGCTTGCTCATTCTGTTTTGATGATAACATCTGGTGTAACTCAAGATGTAGTAACTCAATGGCGAATGGTGATGAAGCTTAATAAACATTAGATATAGACAGAAAGTCCCTCTTAGTTATTTACTCCAAAAGTAGCAAGATGTACAATTTTCATTACTCTTAAGTGAGTTGACCTATAGAATTTAGTGTATCTAAGTGGTGTACCAATAAATGCTAATTTCGACTGAATCTTACAGAATTCTGCCTTAAAATAACGTATTATTATTATTATTATCATTTCCTTTAATTCCTAGAGGAACATAGGGCTTCAGCCGCGCGTCTCCAATGCGTTTGGTTCTCTGATAGAGTTTTCATCTTGCTCCAAGCCTGCCCACATGCTTTCATCTCCTCTTTACATGACCTCCTCCAAATCACCCTCGAACTCACGACCAATTCGCCGCTTCCCTTTTGGGCTCGACTCGGGCAATGGCTTGTCTAGTGATATCACTCACTCGATGGTTTACTCAGAGCATGCCCAGCCAATCCATCTCCATTTCTTCCTGCTTATTTGTTTCACAATCGGTTCCTGGTTGGTTTACTCCCAGAGATCTCTGTTGCTGATCTGAAAATAACGTTCTGGATAGTTAATTTTGTATGGTTTGACTGAGTGAGTAAATGACTCGATGGATATTACTATTATGTCATTCCCTATGAGTGCTCGGGAGAAACAAACACGAGGAAACCTGACAGGTTTTAGACCAGCAAGAGGGTGTGTTGATCATATATTCACCTTTCGATAGATTCTGTAACATAGGAATACTTACTGGCGTCCAACACGTGCTATATTTCTTGACTTTAAGGTGAAGTTTATAATTTTTTTTTGATTTACAGCTTGATTCCACACTGTGTTTTTGGTACCAGTATGGAATTTTCAGCATGGATATCGGTAGCCCAAATTTTGCAGGCTTACCATAGATATCAGATGTGCGTCGGCAGGGGATCGAACCATGTGCATGTTCGGCGAGAGTCCTAACCACTGTGTCACCGACGCACTCCATCGACCGAGAGATACTATGCAAATGATTGGCAATGAAGGAACTACATCCCACTGCTCAACGGCAGTTCACTCTGTCCTCATTCATGGCTGTGAGAGGTAGCTATTGAAAGTGGAAGATATGAAAAGGCTAGTTGTATAACATCATAGGTGTCTGAGATCTATCTGTCGTGTTAGGTGATAAGTGTAATAGGATGGGTAATATTGAGGTTATGTTTCGGTCGAGTGCTAGGTAAGGAGGAAAAGTCGACCGATGAGGTGAGGTTTTGAAGTTACATCGAGTGAGATGGTTAGAACATGTGTTACGCATGTATTCCTTAAGGAGCAATATTAGCTGACATAGGATGAGGTTGGCTGGAAAATAGCTAGTGGTG